CCCATTTCTATTTTTGGAGAAAACTTTGTTTCCCTTCCAGTTACCGCACAGATTTGGGGAATATATTGTCCCTGACTCCAGGGAAGCAGGGCAAAAGCCGTCGTAGCCCTTAAAGAACCACAATAACATCTTCCCGGCTACGACAAGAATGGAAAAAAAATAGTTCATCTTTTGTCTGTAATAAAATTCTCCAAATGCGCGGATTAACTTCACTTTTATCTCTGCGTTCCCTTGTCCCCTTTGTCTTCCGTGTAAACAAAAGTTTTCTTGACGCAAAACGGGTGCACTCTGCTAGGATGGCCGTTTTTTTTTTTCTTTCTGTCTCATAAACATGTAAGATGACATGTAAATCTTACATGCCTCTACTTACATCCAGTACACACTTTACTTTCCTGTGTGTTTCTTAATAGTTCTTATTTCTATAATATTTTAGGAGACCAAGTCTTAGACCATGCCACAGGGGACAATTATCCCCAGGGTGGCAGTGTGGTGGCCACAGTTCTCGGCCCTTGCCAGCGCCATCTGTAGGCCTGAGGCATACACGATCTATTTGGTTCCTGTCTACATCAGCCTAATTTCTCTTCGTTTTCTTTCCCTCTGTTGACAGGAGAGCCTCGTCTTCCACTTCTCCTCGGACCCTTATGGGCTTAATGCTTAGTTTTTAATGTAATAATAATAATAATAATAATAATAATAATAATAATAATAATAATCAATTCTCCTGAACTCCTCTTGTTCACGTATATAGCTTGATGTTGAACTTCATTTGTTATTAGTGTTTCTAGTGTTTTCCTCTATTACAGGGAGTGTAAATGCTTGCCTTCCTTTCTGTTAGTTCATCCTAGGTGACAGTATTCTTGCCTTAACGTAATTCTAATAACTCTCCGCCCATTTCATACAGCTTTATGCAGCGTACGTCTTAAGCATGTAACACATGCTTAGCAAATAAACTGCATAGGTCTCATACATTTGTCTGCTCCCTCAGACTTACTGGTGTTGACAGAGTGGTGACTAACGTGGAGCGAGTGTAATTAAGGCTACCGAACGTTGAAATATTAATACTTAATTCTGCACTCTTCGGCTACACTCATATTAAACTTCAGTCAAGCCCATTTATGAAGAACAGCACATGAAAGCTTACTTCATGATTGGTGGATTGTGGCAGCATTGCTGTGCAAGCAGTTTACTGCTTCCGACCACTTTCTCTCGACGCCATCCCTCGTGGTATAAATGGTTTTAGAAAACCGACAAGTTGATAAATGAGAGAGACACTTGTGCAACATTTGGGTATCTTTACTCTGGACACGTTTCGTCAGCCAGTGGCTTCAGTCCAATACAGAGAAGAACGGTGGTGGAAGATGAGGAGTTTGAGGTAATCAGTCCCTCAGCCTGGAGTCGATATGTTGCTACTGCTACTACTACTACAGCCGGGTCCATACATTCACACATACCTGAGCGGAGTTCGTGTGATCGAACCTAAAGTGTTACTCATACGTGCTACTGCTACACTACTACTACTACTACTACTACTACTAGTGGTCATGTGAGGGATCCTGAAAGTGTTGACCATGTATATAAGAGCAACGCTATCGACATTTCTTCGTTATTTGTTGTGGGAACCATTCATCAAAAGTTTGCCAATAACTGACAACATTGCTACCTGGCTGTAGTTGCTGGCCGTTGTACATGATTTCCCTCTCACACAGAGGCACCCTGGTATCTTGTCTGTTCCGCTATTACAAGACAGAGAATCGAGCTTCTACCAGTCCTTGCGCTGATAACCCTCACGAATTTAAAGCTTAAAATTAAATAAAAATAAAGAAATCTCCATTTACAAAGAGGAACATTAACATTGCTTGGTAGATTGTGTGTGTGTGTGTGTGTGTGTGTGTGTGAGAAAGATATATATATAGAGAGAGAGAGAAAGAGAGAGGAGATGCTAGTTAATAAGCCTGATATTATCCTTTCCAGTAGCTTTACCAGAGACTTGTGACGATGGATGCCTTCCTATCTTCCCGTTGATTCCGATAGCCTTGGCACCAATGGAGCGGCTGTCCGTGGAGACTTGCCTTTTCTCCATTTAGGGATTCCATCTTATCAGAGAAACAGGGCAACAAGTTGATCGGGCTTTTCACGGCTTGGGCAAATTCTAAGCCGGTTTCAAGACTGTATCTTCCGTGGATTATCAACCAAGATACAAAAGGCTTCAGAGTCCAGTCTAACTGATGCCATTTTTACGTCCATTTCCTCCATCTCACAGCAAGGGGATAAAAAAAAAAATAAGGGTAATTCAAAGGCTTAGCCACACACTTCAGATGAGCAATGTGCTTGTACTGGTGATCCAGCTGTGATTGCTGAAGGCATTTGCGTTGTTCACAACGAGGCAGTATGTTTCTTTAGCTTGGAAAATGTATTCACGGGAAACGGTAAATCCGTTGTGGTTATACAGCGCCTAGAAAATGGGAGGCAATTCTGTTTGATACACACAGAGAGAGAGAGAGAGAGAGAGAGAGAGAGAGAGAGAGAGAGAGAGAGAGAGAGAGAGAGAGAGAGAGAGAAAGGATGGTAAGCTCTGAGAGAAGCTCTCTCCAGTATTCCCTTCACCTACAGAGAGAGAGAGAGAAAGGATGGTAAGCTCTGAGAGAAGCTCTCTCCAGTATTCCCTTCACCTACAGTAGGTAATGTGGGTTGTATGGTTGTAGTTTTATATGGTTGTATTTTTGTATGGCTGTATTCTTGTATGGTTATACTTTTGTATGGTTGTACTTTTGTATGATTGTATTTTTGTATGGCTGTATTTTTGAATAGTTGTATTGGCTAAGCAAATTGACAGGTGTATTAGAACCAATATATTTCTCTCCGCAGTGTATCGAATAAGTCACAACATCATGACTGGGAAATACAGTGACTGGAACAACATCATGACTGGGAAATACAGTGACTGGAACAAGACAATGGCTGGTACAAGACAACAACTGGAACATTACCATGAGTGGAACAGTACCATGGCTGGAACAAGACCATAGCTGGTACATTAACATGGCTGGAACAATTCACACATAACCCTAGCTTTGAAAAGAAACTTCCAGACAACGTTTCGGCCGTCCTGAAACATCATCAGGTCACAACTGTGACTTCATCATGGTCTGGGACAGAGCGAAACGTCGTCAAAAGTCGCACTGTTAAAGTGTGAATTATTTGTGAAGTAGAGGCAGAATATGTATAGGCAAAATATATATAAAATAAGTAATGTGTATGAAAGACAGAATGTATATAAACTAAAAACTATATAAAATAAAGACAATGTATATAAAATAAAGACAGAATGTATATAAAAATAAGATACAATGTTTATAAGAATAAAGATAGAATGTATATAAAATAAAGATAGATGTGAAAATAAAAACAATATGTACAGAGTAGAGACAATGTGTATAAAATTAAATATGTATAAATTCACTTCAGTGTATATATACTTCCCTATATCTATATAAATATATATATATATATATATATATATATAATATATATATAAATTATATATATATATATTATATATATTATATATATATATTATATATATATATAATAATCACGTCAGTTAAAACTTCAATATATTTTTGTCTTTATTCAAAGCTTTGTTAAACCTGTTTTATTTTGTTTTTACTGCGTTAACAAAAAAAATATTGCATTACTAAGAAACTGAGTTTCAGCAAATGGCTCTTGATCCAGGAAGAAAATGGAGCAATCCTCCCCTTCCCTGGATCAAGCCTGATTGCCGCCCTTTCACCCCGGGTGCTATATGACCCCCCCCCCAGCCTGGGGTCTAAGTGATCACATCGACTCCAGGCTGAGGGACTGATTGCCTTTATCTCCCTCTGAAATTCAACCATACTTCTACGTATTAGACTGAGGAAGCCACTGGTTGCACAAGTATCTCATTCATCATCCCGTCGGTTCTTTGAACCATTTATCTACATCTTCAGTCCTTCAAATAGTTGTCAAGATCTCTTCATCACTGAGATTAACCTCCTCTTCCTTATCTGAAACCAGATTACTTCCCATTCCCAAGGTATTCAATGTATCTTACGGATAAATCACTTTCCTATTAAAATAATTATAATTATTTACGAGTCTCGGAAATTGTCTTAATTACAGCTGATATTTTTATAACCAAAACTCGACTCACGAAATCGCTCTATTAAAAAAAAAAAGCTAACTACTCACGTCAAATTGGGTACCCCTTTCCTGAGGACCAAGTGAATATTTTACGCAGTAGAGGTAAACAGCACCCATGTTATATAGTAATAAAAAGAGGATCTTTTAACCTTCCCATTTGTACATTCTATATCTAGGAGACACCTCTTGGTTCAGTGTACAGTGTAGGTTAAAGGGTGTATATGTATATACAATGAGAGCTTACTTGAACCCCTGTTTCTTGAAGTTAAATCTTCTAAAGTTAGTGTATAGGTGAAATGTGGCCTTAATGTCCTTCGGGGGAGGTGCCTTGATGCCCCTGAAGGGGGTCGAATTGGGTCGAATTTGATTCTCACCCCTTCGTCAAACGCTGTTATGACCCTCCCTCTTTCCCGAGCGGGACGACTGTACTTTTTGGTGGAGTCGAGCTCTCTCTCTCTTTTTTTTTTTTAAGCTGATACTCCATCATAACTGTGTCAAACTATCTTAATTGATCCAGATCACAACTAAATCATCTTACCTGAGTCAGGTTATGACCAGACCATCTTAAGTCAGATCATGACCAGATCATCTTAAGTCAGGTCATGACCAGACCATCTTAAGTCAGGTCATGACCAGACCATCTTAAGTCAGGTCATGACCAGACCATCTTACCTGAGTTGGATCACGATCAGACCATTTTCACCTGAGTGAGACTGACCAGACCGTCTTACCTGAGTGAACCTACGCCTAGACCACGTAAATGAGTAGGTCCAAGACCAACCTACCTCATACCTGAGCCAGACCTCGGCTCCACCACCTACCTGTATCTAGACAGATGCCCATCTTGAAGAGGCGTGAGATCTCGCTGAAGACTGGCATTAAAGTGAGATGTCTTATCACCACTACGACCGCGTCATCCCGGTGGGCACAAGCTGACGGGCGTGGTGCCACCCACACGGGCGTGGAGTTACCAACACGGGCGTGGTGCTATCCACGCAGGCGTGATCACAAGAACGTGGTGCTCCTCACTAGGGCATCATGCCCATCACGTTGGAGAAAAAAAGATTCATTCTCTAAAGTATTTTGAACCGTCAGCAATGTTTATTATGGATCTAAATATCTCACTTAAGTCGCGGCTCAGCCATTGGTTATAAATATTTCATCAAATCTCACGTGTGTTTAGCGCTTCCCCATGAATTTCGTAATAACAATAATTCATTTGGGTTATAAACAGAAGACTGTGATTCAATTATTGGTTCTAAACGTTTTACTAAGATTGTAAACAGAACCTTACAATGCAATCACTGAGTATAAATATTTCACTAAGAATGTAAACATGTGTCTGCGGTAAAATCACATATTTTCTTTTGCCGTTGTTTTTGACCAGTCTTTGTGTATATCCTCGAGCACGTCTTTTTGTATTATTACCGTTGAATAATGTACATTCTCCCGTCTGTTTCCGACTGCAGAATGACTCTTCGATGCAACAGAGATAGGGGCCATTGTTGCAATTCCATGTTGTCGAAATATTGCTTTGTTACAAATAAACAATTGAACATTGATGATATCTCTTTTAAACCGGAGACGAATTGAACGTGAGATTTGTTATAATTACCACCAGTGAGTTAATCCCTTTAAGTTTACCATGAAATGTGCTACTTAAAACATCGGCATAGAGTTGCAGTTTCATAGATTTTATATAGTAAAGTTAAAAATTGGCCTGCAGTTGTTGGTCTCAGTTGGGTCTCTGTCCATATGAAATGAGGTAACAAGTTCTAGCTTAAAAATATCTGGGAAGGTTTTGGATTTTGTAATGGTGTTACCTGGTGTTGTGTTAGGTTATGTATTTGTGTTTCAGGTCAGTGGCACACCTGTACAGGTGCACTGGTGGAGGCAGATGGTATTAACTACGGCAGGTGACCCTGAGGGAATCCAGATAATACCGGCAGCGGCTACAGTGTTGACGGAGTGGTATAATGGAAGTCAGGTGGTATGGACTCTTGTGACGGCAGGTGGCAGAAGGTATTCTAAATGGGAGTTGAAGCAGCAGCAACGTAATTGATGACGGCAAGTGACACAAGTACAGCCTGATGGTACTGGTAGCAACAACATTGTTGACACCAGATGACACAAAAGACATCAAATGGCACTGATAGCGGTAGTGGTGACGAGTGGGGAGGGTTCTAAAGAGCAGCGGTTACCAACGCTTCTGTTGACAATTGGCGTCCTGGAGACCGTCTGAGCTCCCTCATCCACACACATACATATTCAGACGAACACCCTTCACACGGGTCTGCAAGCATTTCTGCACCCGCATCTGTAGTACTGTTTATAGTCCTGAGTCTATCATAACATCCATCACCCCTAGCACTGTCCACAACTGAAGCATAATAACACACGAATGCTTAGACACAAGTCATCACGAATGTTACGTTGGTGAAAAATATTCCTCCACTCAGCTACTATCAAATAAGTTAGCTTCTCTGTTATTTAATGGCCACAGGTTCAAAAAGTTGACATAAGGCACACGAATAGAGGGCCGGAGGAGCCGAGCAGCAGTCCTCACCCGTCGGTGGCTGAACACAGAATGGCTCCGTTGCTCCAGGAGTCGATATTTGTATTAATTTATGAGCTTGGACGTTGCCGATTCTTTCGTCCACTGACGCACCTGCCAGACCGCGGTGCTGCGGTGGCTTTATCAAACCTATATTGATTTTAATACCTTATAATGGTAAGTTGCCAGGAGGGAAATAATATTTTTTTAATGAGGTTTTGGAATGCAGGAACGAACGAATGTAGAACTGATGTGTATGTGTATGTGTGTGTGTGTATGTGTGTGTGAGAGTGTGTGTTTGTATGTGTGTGTGTGTACTCACCTAGTTGTACTCGCCTAGTTGTACTAGTTGTACTCACTGGTCGCTACTAGGTCACTCTCCCTGAGCCGTGAGCTTTATCATACCTTTGCTTAAAGCTATGTATGGATCCTGCCTCCACTACATCGCTTCCAAAACTATTCCACTTCCTGACTACTCTGTGGCTGAAGAAATACTTCCTAACATCCCTGTGATTCATCTGTGTCTTCAACTTCCAACTGTGTCCTCTTGTTGCTGTGTCCCATCTCTGGAACATCCTGTCTTTGTCCACCTTGTCAATTCCTCTCAGTATTTTGTATGTCGTTATCATGTCCCCCCTATCTCTCCTGTCCTCCAGTGTCGTCAGGTTGATTAACCTCTCCTCGTGAGACATACCTCTTAGCTCTGGGACTAGTCTTGTTGCAAACCTTTGCACTTTCTCTAGTTTCTTTACGTGCTTGGCTAGGTGTGGGTTCCAGACTGGTGCCGCATACTCCAATATGGGCCTAACGTACACGGTGTACAGGGTCCTGAACGATTCCTTATTAAGGTATCGGAATGCTGTTCTGAGGTTTGCCAAGCGCCCATATGCTGCAGCAGTTATTTGGTTGATGTGCGCTTCAGATGTGCCTGGTGTTATACTCACCCCAAGATCTTTTTCCTTGAGTGAGGTTTGTAGTCTCTGGCCCCCTAGACTGTGTGTGTGTGTGTGTGTGTGTGTGTGTGTGTGTGTGTGTGTGTTCACAGGCAAAGCTTTGTTATGGTGTACTGTTTTCATTAATATTTGATATATTTTTTAAAAAAAATATGAACATTGTGTGTACGTAAGTTGTGGTTGTGGGGGTCCGTCACACCTTTGGTCACACCTGTGAACTGCGTATAACCGGTTAAACAAATTATCGTGGCCTGGTGGCTAAAGCTCTCGCTTCACACGGTTAGAGTCCGAGTTCGATTCCCGGCGAGGGTAGAAACATTGAGCTTGTTTCCTTACACCGGTTGTTTATGTTCCCAATCAGCAAAATGGGTACCTGGATGTTAGTCGACTGGTGTGGGTCGCATCTAGAGACGAAACTGACCTAATTTGCCCGAAATGCTCTGCATAACAAGCGACTTTCTATATAGTAGTATGTCAATGATGTCAGCTAGGCTTGTATACCTTGTACATGTACTTGTAGAAATAAAGATATTATTATTATTATTATTACTATTATTATTATTATTATTATTATTATTGTATAGTTTTAAGATAGGTACGACAGTATCTATGGTGTTTGATATTCGTCCTCATCACTCAGATACTGAAGATTTATTTCCTAACATTCTTATGGTTCATTTCCACATTAAATATTCTTTCAGATGTGTCCCCTTATTTTTCATTCATGCCTTCCAGAGAGTCTGTCCCATCTGCTTATTCAAGTTTTCCTTGAGTATCTCATACTTTTGCTATTGTATCTTCCTTAGACCTTCATCTGTCTTAGGTCGTCAGGTTCCGTTATTTTATCGTCGTAGGTCAACCATCTTGGCACCAGGACCAGTCTTGTTGTGACTTGCTCTAATTTCTTTTTATATTTTTGATCAAGTGTAATTACATATTTGTAATTGTTTGTAGGTCCAGGAGCATAGCTATGCTTGTGGTGTCCCGTCTTTAAAAACCTGTAGGTCCAGGAGCAGAGCTATGCTTGTGGTGTCCCGTCTTTAAAAACCTGTAGGTCCAGGAGCAGAGCTATGCTTGTGGTGTCCCGTCTTTAAAAACCTGTAGGTCCAGGAGCAGAGCTATGCTTGTGGTATCCGGTCTTAAACAACCTGTTCATCATATTTGATTTCATTTAAATTTCCAATGTTTGTAGCTCTTGCTACACCCTCTTGTCTTCCTCTTGTCTTCCATTCCATTGATCCACCACTCTGGTGTGAAGAAAATTTTTCTAATATTCATTCGCAGCCAGTATTTTTTTTAGTTCACAGCTGTCTTCTTGTTATCCCCGTCGCTGGTGCCAAAAAAAAAAAAATTATTTTGAACTAATCTTTCATCCCCTTTTATGACCTTATATGTGGTTGTCATGTCTTCTCTTCATACTGTCAGCCAGCGTGACCATCTTTATGTCTGTTCTCCTGCTGTCAGCCAGCATGGTCATCTTTATGTCTGTTTTCCTCCTGCTGTCAGCTAGCGTGGTCATCTTATATGAAAAACTGTACCGGTCCCAGCACTGACATCTGTGGAACACTGCTAGTGATTTCTGCCCCTCAAGATACCTCCTCCTTGATGGGGGGTATGTATGTATGTGAGTGCGCGTATGCATGTGTGTGTGTGTTGTCAGAGAGAGACGATTGAGCGCGAGTTGTCAGAGACGATTGACTGGAGTGACAGAGCGTGTCACCATCGACCGCGACATCGATAACGATATGAAGTGTCCACATTCCTCGTATATCGTTTCCAGGCGTCGACAACGCAGTCGCACCGACGCAAATCGCTGTCCTTCCCAACCAGTGACTGCTATCTTGCATTCCTCCCAGACCACACTGGAAATATACCACCGGCTTTCCTAAGCTTAATCTACATATTGTACTATTTACGTATGATTTCAACATTTATGTAACCTCAGAATCATTGTACCAAATTTTTATTAATGCCTGTGAAATCGTTAATGAAGTTTATCTTATCTTACGTCTTATCTTATAGTAAACAGGTGATTTCAGAATATGCAAAACAACCTCAGTGAAAGAATAGTGAAATTCCAAGCGCTTTCGTGACTTCTCACATTATCAAGGAACTACTGTGAGAAGTCACGAAAGCACTTGGAATTTCACTATCTTTCACAGTGGTTGTTTTGCACATATATCTATATATATATATATTTATTGATATATATTATATATATATATATATTTTATAGATATATATCTATATAAATATATATATATATATCATATATTGAAAGCCATACATCTGACGATAATATGTATCGAGTGTACAGGTTAGGAAGTAATTACAGATGTGGATCTAAAAGGTATATTGTCACAATGGATGAAGGAAGGTGCATGCAAGTTGTAGAACAAGCATTATTGGGACAGACGTTTTGCTCAGATGTAGAGTTTAATAAGTCAAGAAGGCTCTTTCAGGGAGCAGATTTAATAAACATAGACCACCAAAGAGACCCGTTGTGTACTAACAATAGCAATCCTGTGCAAACGTGTCTCTTTTCTTTATAATAACAATGTTCTTGACTGTGAACGGGAAGTCAACTCAGCTCACGTAGCCTTTTCGGAATGTTTGATAGCCGCATATGCGGGGAGGCCAGACGCTGCAGCCTCTCCTGTGTCGCACTATAATCTCTGTTATTTCTGTGCATTTTACTGCTCTTTAGGACGAGCCCAATTACACGGGTATTCATTTTTATGTAGGAAAACAGGGTGAGTGGCAAGCGTTCACCCCGGGGTGCTAGGGTAGGCAATGTGGGTGGATGTTCACTCCGGGGCTGGGGTGGCACTCTTGGGTGGACTATTCACCCCAGGGCTGGGGTTGTACTGTTGTGGTTGCATGTCACCCAGCCACAAGGCGGGGTGGCACTGTTGGTTGGCATGATATACCCAGGGCTGGGGGTGGCACTGATTGGGTGGGCATGTTCACCCCAGGGCTTGGGGTTGGGACTGTTTCCGGATGGCCATGTTTACCATAGGGCTGGTTGGTGGTTGCAATGTTAAGGGGCATATTCACCCCAGGGCTGGGGTGGTGTCTTAGGTGACGCATTTATTCTGAGTGGGTGTAGCACAACACGACTGACCTGAAAAAAATAATTGTTCCTTTACAACACTCGCAAATACAAGTGTTATAAAGAAAGAAATACCTCTTGAGCTGTACTGATAAAATAAGTAAAGAAAAACAGATTTTTGCTTTGTTTATGTAAACGCTGATCAGTTTATGCCCAAATGAAGGAAGTAGAATTCGAGCACAACTAAGCTAGGACTGCGGTAAATTCTGTGTTCTTAATCTTGGTAAGATAACACAGTGACAGACAATGAATTCCAAAAATAGAAGGCTATAACATAAAATATTGCATAGAAATAGGCGACAGAAGTGAAGGGTGTGTGTTATATAGAAAGACTAAACCTACAAGACAGCCTCTGGAGAATGTATGATGTGAAATGTGGGGTACCCATATTGTTGAACGTTTCACCTGTACAGTAGGTTCTTCGGTCAAATCAGGGGCAAGAAGGTATGATGTGTTGCTGCCGAGAAGAACCAACATTCAAGGGGCCATACCCGGCCGGGATTGAACCGCGGTTCATAGGAGTATGGTTTATTTGCATACAATGTCATTACGATTTTCTTGAGTAACCATTAACGGGAATGTTTACATCCCTTCCACTTATAATCAATTCTCTAGAACATTTACAGGAGCATTGTTCAGAACTGGGCTCAACTGAGAGCAATAATTCTCGGAGAAATTCAGTATAACTTTCAAACAACAAAGTGTTATGCAAAAGTTATAAGCAATCTTAAAGATTAAATAATTACGAGAATTAATTAATGAACCTGATTGGATTACGCAGCTAACAGCCGCCACACTGAGGCGTAAACTTTATGAAAAATTTCAGTCACCAGGCATATTCTCAAGAAGACCTAAAGACCATCTTATCACGCTGTACAAAAAAAAAATAGGAGAATCAGATTAGATGATAGATTAAGGTTAAAAGAGATAAGTTAGGGATACTACAG